GTAATTGAAAACAGATAATAATTAAAAGCCAAGCTTTACATTATTGTATGTTAATCCTGTCATTAGGCTGTATCATCTGTCATATAAACTATAAAGTATATAGGACAACTTTTACAGATATATTCTATTTCCTCATCAAACACCATTTAAGCCAATTATAAAGGATAACCTTCTTATATTTAGGACAATCACTAATAAATCTGATTATGAAAATAAATAAGAGGAAAATATCAATTTAGGTCAAGTTCTAGGTCAGATTTCAATATTGTTATTATGTCAAGTTCAAAAGATATTTCCTTACTTTCTTAACAAATCCTCGGTCATTTGGAAAGTTGATCACATAGTCTTTGGATGGAGGATATAGAAATACCGGACGTCCGTTCCACAGGTCTTAAATTGTAAGCTCTCTTACGTGTACAATTCTAGTAGATTTTTATCGAACCTAAATCACAGGTTTATATTAGCAATTTTCGGACAAGTTCGAAAATCAGTGCTGATCAACTATTTTAAGAAGAGTTATATGTCTTTTGAAAATATTGATTATATGGAAAATTGCAATGTTGGTGCATTCACCCTTAATTTCGTTAAGATATTTTTAAAAGTTTTAAAGAACAAAACGTTATTGTCCTTGGACAGATAAAATATGTACGTGCAACGCGGGGGACATTAGAACTCTGTTCTTTTATTTATTATACATTATGGAAAACAAGGGGTGTGGTGTATAATAAATTAATGACACAAAATCTCGTACTTAATAATACCCATAGCAAAGAAACATAGCTTTTATTGCTGTTCTTCATCTTAAAGTAGACATTCCAGAGTTAATTTTAGTAAGTTCTTTTCTTGTATTGATTTTCATTGTACGTTCTTTTATACACCTTATGTTATTCGACAGTTCTAGATAAAAATGTGGTTGAATTAAATTTAAAGAAAGTTCACTTGACCTTTCTATGTCGAAATATTTGTATATGGTTCTCTTTTATCATCAAATGTAATGTTTTGTTATTGAAAAATACAAATACATATATCATAATAATCAATAAGAAAAAAATCCCTGGCAACTAAACTAGGGAACAGTTAGTCTCCCAGCAGTTATACCAACTCGTTGGTAATAAAATAAATGTTATGTTGGCTTCGGATCCTTGTTTTACACAAAAAGTTTCCCAATAAAAAACATGGACTATTTGTGCAAGGTTCTGTAGTGTCGGAAAACACATGTATAACCTTGTAAATGCTAGAGGCAAAATGAATGTACTGTTTCGAAACAAATTCAGTATCAATGAGAAAAACCTATAACAATAAGTTGATAAAAAGTGAAACCGGTTATAACCGTATAAATCGACTGATATTCGTGTTTTACTGGTGAAGCGAATTTGCAGTCTTCGAGATATCTGACTTTGGACTAGCATTATAACATGTGATGTGGTGAATAGCGTTCAAGTACCTTACCCTCCTTTTTAGTTCACCTGATCCTTTAGTGTAAGTTTTTTCTTTCAGTTAGTGTCCATCGTCTGTCGTCGTCCGTTACCGGTTAACTTTTATAAAAATATTCTCTGAAAATACAGGGCTAGATTGAACTGAATTTGACCACAATTATCCTCGGGGTACTTGTATCTCGTTAAAAAATGACCATTTTTACCAATTGTTTTTGATTTGTCCATTATCTTGAAAAGTATAAAAACTAGTGAAAAACTTTCTTCAGCAAAAATTATCGGTAAAACATTATCTACAAAAAATCAACATAGTCGAAATTTTCAGTGAACTACTTTTAGTTTATTGTTGCCCTTAAATGGAGATTTTTACCAATCGTTTGCGTTTATGCCTATTATCTTCAGAACTATAATATATAGTAATAGATAAAAAGAAATTTTAAAAGCAAAACTTATCAACAAGAAAAGATCTACTTATAAGTCAACATGTTTATATGTCTTTTTGATCGAGTTCAGCCATTTCAATTGATATTTTATAGTGTGTCGTTTTATGTTGTAATGTTACACTACTATCTTAGGTAAGGGTGAAGATTGGCGCCTGTTAAAACGTTTAAACCTGCTGCATTTGTATGCACCTGTCCTAATTCAGGAGCCTGATGTTCAGTGGTTGTCGTTTGTTGGTGTGGTTCATAAGTGTTTCTCGTTTCTCGTTTTTTATATAGATTAGACCGTTGGTTTTCCTGTTTGAATTGTTTTACACTAGTCATTTTGGGGCCCTTTATAGCTTGCTGTTCGGTGTGAACCCAGGTTCCGTGTTGAAGGCCGTACTTTGACCTGTAATTGTTTACTTTTTATACATTGTGACTTGGATGGAGAGTTGTCTCATTGGCACTCATACCACATCTTCTTATTTATATATAGTCGAAATCATGAGTAGATTTCTTTAAGGAGTTATTGCCCTTAAATGATCAAGTGTTTTCAATTTTGTCTATTACCTTGATAATTCTATATAAATAAGATATTATAGAGAAACTTTAAACAGCAAAAAGACAAGATCTCTTAAATATTCAGCATAGCCGAAATTGCAGTCAACTCCTTATAAGAGTTATTGCCTCAAATGAGATTTTTTACCATTGGTTTTTGTGTTTTGGGCAAAATACTATTGTAGCTTAAGAGAAACTTTAAAAAGCAAAAATGATTGGCAAAACAAAATCTACAAATAAGTCACATAGCTGAAATTGTCGGTTCACTCCTTATATGAGTTATTGTCCTTAATGGGAAGTTTGTTAATCCATTTTTGCATTTTCGGCAAAAACTGTAGAAGAGAGAAACTGTCAACAACAAAAATGATCAGCAAAAAAAAAGAAATTTTAGTCATGAATTATATTCTAGTCTATAATGTTTTTAATGCACATATATCTAGGTGAGTGACACACGCTCTTAAGAGCCTTTTGTTTTTTGGTTTTGGTTTTCTTATCTCAATCAGTGGAATGATAAAGATGAACAGTTGTCCTTTGTGTTTTTCTGTGTTCGATGAATTTATTTTTGTTTCACTGCAGTTCAAAGTTTGAAACGACTGAAATTTCAATTTTATTTTACCGAAATGCGCTTAGAGTAAACGAACTAAGCTTTCTGAAGAATATTTACCACTATAGTCTATATTAGTATATGGTTTGATAAATCACTGAAAAGCCAATTTAATATGTTTTTAACCTTCTTCAACCTGAAAGATACATAGAAGATTTAAATCTGCATTAATTCAAGCTGAAATGTAAATAACATTCCAAAATGTCTTTCAAATTATAAAATGAAATATGAGGGAGGGGGAGGGGGGGGGGGGGGGGGGGGTTAGTGGGGGATGGGGAGGAATTATAATTTCTAATGCAAGTATTTCAAAATTCAGCAATAACAGATATGAATCTAACAAAAGGTTTTCAAAACCTGACGAAAGTAAAACGCCTTCAATATTTGATTACTAACGGCAATTCAACATGCTTGGTAAAGGATCTTGGTATTATGTCCAAAAATAATCTTAGAAATTCGGTGGTTACAGGTCTTTGAATTACTGGACGTATTTTAAAATTGTTTGTAATGTTTTCTTTGCTTTCATTTAATTATATACATTATTGACAAAACTTTATTTTTCCATCAGACGTTTCCTTGCAAAAATATTTTAAGTAGAATATAATATATTTTACGCATATGCACTATTCAGATTGACCTTAAGTTTCATTGACATATTGTGTCGTACTTAGATCCTAAATCTTCTATTTTTGATTTCTGAGCGGGTTTTGACCTTTGTTCCTTTAATGTGTGACACATAATTTTATGTTTTTCAATTCCTTGTGGAATTTTGTAAGGTATCGTTTTCTATTTCCATCCATAACTAAGGTTATAAAACGATTCGTCACAAAACATTTCTCTGAAATCACATGACGAAAGTAGTCGTTCCTCCCGCCAACAATAAAAAGAAAGTTCGAACGATCATGACTATCTGCATCAGAAATCAATAAATATAAAGCTTTTCAAACACGTTTTGAAGTAGGATAATGAAACATTAAATTAATGCGGTTATAGAATGTAATGTGGGATTAAAAATAAATGTCTCAACTCTAAGCAGAAATATGATATAGATCAAACAAAAGGTTGTCAAATCTGATCACGAAAAAAAATAAGCTTCTACTTCCTGATTACTACTAATAATGGTACAATATAGTTTTGAACCGGAACTTGATTTGCATAAATCAAACTCCTTGGTTTGTTTAAAACTTTTTTTACGCCCAGACCCCAAACAGGTAATCAGTTAATTCAATAAATAATTATCAAAAGCACAAAATATAAATAAAACATTAAAATAGACCCTTTAACAAAGTCAACATATCTTTTTCTTCATTGCATTGAAAACCATGCCACAAAGAGATTTAAAAATTTACCGTTCATTTCAATTAAGAAAAAAAATTATTCCCGTTATTCACAAATATTTTGCAGATTTTTATTTGTTCTGTTCGTGTATTGTCCTCTTAAATCATATTTCAAATTTCTCTTTTACCATAGTTGTTGATGGTATATTGCACCTTTTTTTTTTACAAAACAGCTATTTCTTCATTTAGATGCCATGCTGTTGTCCGTTATCTAACGATGATAATGTGCAATTTAAGAATGCGGAAATTACTGGGTACATGTTTGTCTCATTCTTTAATTGAAATCCTTTTAAAGTTAACAAAATGAATTTTTGAAAACATCAATAAAAGAGAGGCGAATGATACCAAACAGAAATTCAAACTTATAAGACGAAAATAAACTGACAACGCCATGGCAAAAAAAAAGACCAAAAGACAAATTACAGTTCACAAAGCACAACACAGATAGCTAAAGACTGAGCAACACGAACCCCACCAAAAACCGCGGTGTACAAAACAATGCTTTGAATTCCTTCTAGCGTGTTAGAGATTTAATTAAAGAAGTCGGTAAGTTTCTTTTCTTGAACTATGATTTGTATGGTTCAAGAGTAAATGCTTTCACTACATTAGCCTGAAGTTGCAGAAGTAATTTTTACTTTGAATTTTCTAGATCCCAGAGATCAGCGAGATAAGAGATCACCAAAAAAAATGATACTCACAAGAATGCTTCTTGGAGAGATTTATGTTACGGACCAGCCAAAATCGTTCCAAAGACCACCGTGCAAAACCTGCAAGAAAGATAAATGTTGTGATTCGTCACATAATCCCAGAGGGCAGGGATTCTTTGATTCCGTAGTTGTTGATGGACAGTGGAACTTCAGAGAGTTTATTGTTTATAACAGTAGTCAGTGCTACCCAGAATACATTATCACGTATAAAAGAAAATAAAAGCGGGAAACAGAAGCGCGATTGTGACATTGTAGCATGATCGTGATTTTTTGACTGCTTTCTAACAATGTTATTATCTGTTATCTACTCGACACTTAAACAATGTACACGTAATACTGTTATAATTAGTGTACAATTTTTACAAATCTACCAAAAAGCAAAAAGGAAGATGAAATACATGTTATTTTAATAAGTGTTCATGTCACATGAGTGTCATGTATGTTTCTTTTTTGTTCGGTTGTAAAACGTTCTTGTATTTTTCTTGTATTTTACTAAAGATCCAACAGTTATTATTAACTTCTCTATCAAAATCATTTTCGTATTCAGATTTTTCGAAAATTGAGCATCAATTCGCTGCAAAGGTTACAACGTAAGAACTTGCAATTGATTCCATTTATCGTCCGCTAAGTATGTAAGTTTTTCGTGTACTTATTAATTAACTTTACACGTACTCTACTATTATTAGTTAACTAAGTGAAAATAAGGGATTTATAAGACAAAATCTAGAAAGGATTTTGTTTAAGTTTGTACAATAAATATTATCTTCGTGTCATGTAGCCTTCATTTACACTTCTTGTTTATCTGTTCAATATATTCATGAAACTGAATATACGATACACAACTGGTATTCCCCTGTCATTTACCTTTTGAATGCAAATATCACAAACATAATTTATTGAAAAGGGGCGAAAAGAATAAGAATTTTCTATTTCTGCGTCATGATTAAATGCTTACTTTGTCATGAAAGTCGGTTTTGTACACATGTCTGTCTTTTTTAATTGAATGACTACTATGAAGAATGCGAATGAATGACAATAACAATAACACTATAAATTCTGTTCGTCCGAAGCGCTTGTGCTGGATATACTTTCATCAGGAACGTTAATGCTGAAAGCTAAACAGTTGAAAGCCAGCAGCCGGTTGTACGAACGTTGCATTAGCCTAATGGGTCATTAAGTCTTCATTAAGCCTTTATGATGCATTAAGCTAATGAAGACTTAATGACTCATTAGCCTAATGACACGTTCGTACGACCGGCTGCAGAAATGTATAAATAAGTAGAAACGTCAGGAGATATATAACCAAAAGGGCATACAAATAATAGAAAAAAACTTATATCAGGTCAACTTTGCCTTAGGGAGTTGGAACCTAAGTTTCTTATTAATGTATCAACGGGGAATTTTTAAATAGCACTAATTACTAAGCTTATGATACCCTCAAGGACTTACATTCCACCAGCAGCGGTATCGACCCAATGCTAGTAAATAAAACTAGAGAATCGGAAGAGCCTGTTTCGCTCACCTTGGTCAAGTGCATATTCAACAAAGGACACTCTCCAACATTCTAGACGAGAATAGAATTAATGACAAAAATCTCTGTTTTGTTGATCTTGTACCGCTGATCATTTGCAATGCTATATAACTGTTATACAAGGAAGAGGTTTAGCTAGCTATATAACCAGGTTTAATCCACCATTTTCTACATAAGGAAATGCCTGTACCAAGTTAGGAATATGACAGTTATTTTACTTTTTAGTCTGTTTAGTTTCTCTCTATCTTCTTTAGTGTTTGCTCAAAACACAAAAGAGGGTAAAAGAATCCTCATTTAAATGCAATCACTCCTATAAAGAGTCAGAGTCTACTAACTATACCGGCAAAATTTGACTTGTAAGTAGATCTTGCCTTGCTGATCATTTTTGTTATTTACAGTTTCTATTCATGTATTTATCTATTATAATTTTTATCATATAAGGCAAAAAGCAAAAAAAATGTAAAAATCGTCATTAAAGTGCAATAACTCCGATAAGGAATTGTCGGAAAATTTCCTCCATGTGGTCCTAAATGTAGAAATTGTCTTGCTGATCCTTTTTGCAAGTTTCTATCTATCTATTATAGTTTTTAAGATATAAGGCAAAAACGCAAAAAATTTGGTAAAAATCGTCATCAAAGGACAATTACTCTGATAAGAGTCGACTGACGATTTTGACCATTGGACTTATTTGTAGAACTTGTCTCGCTGATTATTTTTGCAATTTAAAGTTTCTCTCTATCTGTTATATTTTTCAAGATAATAGGCAAAAATAAAGGAAAAAAAATGGTAAAATTTGTCATTTAAGGCCAATAACTCCTATAAGAAGTCGTCTAACAGTTTTGCCGTATATGGACAATTGGTAGAGCTCAACATTCTGAACAATTATTCTGCTCGTTTCAGATTTTCTCTATTTATTACGGTTTTCAAAGTAATAGACAAAACTTGCATTTTACCCCTATGTTCTATTTTTAGTAATGTCAGCCATCTTGGTTGGCAGGCCGGGTATTGGACACATTTTTTAAAACTAGATACCCTTATGATGATTGTGGCCAAGTGCGTTAAATTTGGCTCAGTAGTTTCAGAGGAGAAGATTTTTGTAAAATTAACGGACGACGACGACAGACGACGGACAACGGACGCCAAGTGATATGAAAAGCTCACTTGGCCCTTTGGGCCAGGTGAGCTTAAAAGCAATTCATAAAATTCGTGCAAATTGATGCTTTCTTCATTCTAAGCTACAAAAATCATACGAAGTGTGTGCGAGAACGCAACAAATATTACAGACATTTTAAAGAAGATAGTTAACCCGGATTTGTTTTTTTCTCAATCGATTTTTGAATTTTGAACAGCGGTATACTACTGTTGCCTTTATCTTGCCTTTAGACATCGATCTTATGTCTCTTTTTGTTTGACCTATGATCCTCACGAATCACGGGAAATGGAGTTGCTGGATCAGCCCTCGACTGCCAACATATTGAAACAGTTATTTTTTTATACTGGTTCTCTTAATGTATGCCTTGTGCAAATAATGGATGCCATTGGGGACTATATTCACACTCTTTAATACAATAAAAAATTTATATGGTTTTGCAATACTGTGGCCTGAATATATTTTGTTATTTCCTTCATTGTGTTTTACTTTTTTCCCTAGTAGAGTTTAGTTTTGACTTTTAAAAATTTTGTCCTCGGAGAAAAAAACAGCAATGATTGAGAAAATTTGACTTCTGGAAGATGGAAAATACATGTTGTTTCTCTCCTTATCTGTTTCTCAAAATCTGTAAACAATTGTGTGGCCTGATATCAAATTCAGAAAAGCACTTTGGGCGCAACACATTTCTAAATTGTTATTTTATGTTTATTTGTCAAAAATATATACTAATAAAACGGTATGTGCCGTGTAACAATACGTTGTCATTTTATATATATATATATATACATTTGATACTTTGAAATTCATAGTTTATTTATAGCCGTTTATAATACGGACTTGTCGACGCTTTCAATAAAAACTTTTCTTTGGACATGATATATTTTGTCATGCTGACTCGTACATATGGCCCTGTCATTTATAAACAAACTAATGCCGGCAGCTGAGTGAGATCATGATTCGTAGAGTAAATTATTATTGCTATGTGTAAACCAAGAAATGCATGCACTTAACCCTGATGAGAAGAGTTATAAATAATGATTTTTTATATTGAATTTGAAGGAACTTTATAAAATAGCAGTATCACAAGATAACTAAGTGATCGGCAATCAACGACTCAGAAGGCTTTCTTTAAATTGATTTTCCTAATTGTAAGAGTAATACTAGCACTTTCTGGAGAAAGAATAGTTAATATGGATTAAGTAATTTTGTGTTTTAACAAATGTCCATATGTTTTATAGTTGAAAAGAAGCTTTAATATATATATAGTTGAAAACTCAAAGATCTTGAGGTAAACTGACAACGCCATGGTAAAACAAAAACGACAAAAGACAAACAAGTCCACAAAATACTAGAAAGTAGAAACTGAAAAACTATAAACCCAGCAAAAACCGGCTGGGGGATCTCAGGTGCTCCGAGATGTCAAGCAGATCCTGTTCTACTTGTAGCATCCGTCATAATGGGGTGCGAAATTAAGTTTTATTAAGGTTGGAGGTTGCAATTACCTTTGAACTGTTGTATTTTAAATAGTTCACAAATTGTAGCAGCTTCCATCTTGGTTTTTTTTTTTATTCTGTTATTCTCGAAGACTGGTTTGCTATTTTCCAATTTTGGAGGGCTAATCTATATCAAAGTAGTTTCTAATATTAAATGTAATTATTATATATGTTAGCTGTTCGACTTTGATCTCTGTAGTGTTGATAAGCTATTTTTTGTCTAACACTCATTTTACCTTCATTGTTGTTATTAGTCGTGTCTCCCTATTGCGTGACCAGGTGTTGATTCCTCGGATGTTGAACAAATTGTTGTTGATGATTGAAGAAATAATATAAACGTAGTTTCAGATAGCGTAAATGAATTATAGCTAGGCTTTAAAATATTGTGATTTATTATTGCTTTTATTTTAACAAGCTATGAGTTGAAAAAAAAATCGTTTCTAGTGTATTTGTCTATTTGGTCAAAACTTTGTCTTCTTTTGATTTTTTTTTATCCTGATGTTATCATGTATAATTGTATTTTGTTTTACAATTCAATTTGCTTGAACTATATAGCAAATATCCTGACAAAAATAATATTTGTGTTTATATCATCAGAAGGGGAAAACGCTTCTCATTGCAAAATTATAACCAAATAAGCAAATAAACCTATGACAATTTTGTTTCTATTGGTACCAAGTTGCTTAAATTCCAGCCAGAATTGACCTCACAAGTTTTTTTTAAACGTAGTTTTATTGGAAATATATATGACGAAAAAAAACTGTATATATCCTTATCGTACCCTGCCCTTTATGAACATAAAATTACAGAAATGTATGTAATAAATTAACTAGGTGCCGAAACATTGACAAATTGTACTCCCGGGGACTAACAGTTCACCAGCAACGATATCGACCCTATGCTACAAAATATAAATAATACTTTAACTTTGGTGATTCCGAAGCACTTTTCTGGCTAAGAATCTTCCACCAGTTGTATCGATCGAGCACTACCCCCGCCCACTCCCCCGAAAAAAAAGAAAGCCAGCATTCTACATATATACAAGAAGCAAAATGACATAAAAGAATCTGAAGAGAATACATAAGCCTTAAACCACCTAAGATCAAGATTGAGTTGGAACCCAAGTTTCAAAATAATTTCTTAATTAATCTTAAACGGACAATTCAATAAATGCATATTATAAATCATATCTACATTCAGTGTCGAAACCCTGACAACTTGGGAAATAAAGTAATTTAATGACTGTGTGATTAATACCACAAATGTGTCTGTTTATGTCAATTATTCTGTTCTTTTTCACATTTTTGATTGAACATTTCATGCGGATTCCTTTGGTTTAACCATTATTGTCGTTGAGTACTTAAAATAAGTACAATGTCTATAGAAATCTTGGCAATCACATCTCTGTCTTTGTATTATATAGCGAAATGATTAATTCAGTAAAACTCGAGAATCCATAATATAAATTTTATTTCAGAATAAAAAAAAAGATAATAAACATCTCGTGCATATAACTCGCTTTTTATGACGCGTTATCACTAGATATATGACTCATCACGTTTTTTTAACAGGAGTAACACGGACGGTGTTGCCAGTGGAGTTTTTAAAACATCTGGGTGCATGAACGGAAGACATGTTTGTTTTTAAGTATGCCAGTGTCGACGTTCAAGCACTGACTACTTAGCTAATGATTCCTGCGGGGTCTAACATCCCTCCAGCAGTGAAATCGATTGTTATTTGGTGCGTTTGAAGTGCCTTTCTGGATTAACTTTTATTCGGAGAGATAAAAACCGCAAAATTTGAAAGC